TGTTCTCCTTCTTCTCAAAAGGGAAAAGGGAAATCTCAACTTGGACAGGCGGGCATCGCCATTTTTTCGGGAACCTGAAACAAAATAATACCCCTCCTTTATTCTCCCCGGAGGAGAGCTTTTCTCGCGGGGACCCCGAAAATGACGATTTTTGCCGACATCGTTTTTTAGCGATGTCGGCGAAAAACGCCATTTTCGGGGTCCCCGCGAGAAAAGCTCTTCTCCGGGGAAGATAAAGGAAGAGTATTACTTTGTTTCAGGTTTTAAAAAAAATGGCGATGCCCGCCTGTCCATATCGACTATACCCCTTCCCTCTTCAGAGGAAGAAGAACACCTCTCACCCTCTTTAAGAGAGAGATCGAGAGTTCTCCCTCCTCTCATGGGGGGATCTGTGAATCCCCCAGTGTTGTGGGAGAAGAAGGTGTGAAACCTTCCCCTCCCCTTCCCCCGACAAACTTGGCCCTCTGTGGCCTCCGAGTTCANTGAAACCTTCCCCTCCCCTTCCCCCGACAAACTTGGCCCTCTGTGGCCTCCGAGTTCATCAAGGGGGCCAGAATCCTCCATCCTCGTCCAGTTGTTGCCATCTTATCCTATTGCCTTGAATAAATTTTTCATGAATATTCTAAATTATGTTAACCAACCGTTGAAAACACATTGGAAACTGTCGATGGATGGGAACAGGCCGGAATGGAACATAGCCGAGCTTAAAAGAAATACATAAGAAGCAAGTCATTCGCAGTTTAGAAACAAGGGTATACAAGGGAGAACAAACAAGATCTAATACTTCAAGAAACATGACAAGCGGGGCGATTCTCATAGTTATCGATATAACTGAAAGCGGGATGATGAAGAAGCGAATGTTCAATGGCTAACATGACATGCTAGGAACGACCTTCTTTCCAGGAAAGTTCATCCTTTGACATTTTCAAACCAAAAAGAACAAGTAGCAAGAACTAACATCAAGACCCCCCTTTTCATTTCTTGAGTAATCGAGATACAGTGAGGATGAACAGTAACATATCAAGATGAGAGGAACTATCACCCAAATTTCGAAAGCTGGAGCTTCTCTCTCCTTATTTGTTGGACAAATGGCAATTGACGAGTACAGCTATCGACTCTCAATAATTTCATAATCGAGCATACG